TACTCATAAATCTTCATTGCATTTTTGCTGAAGACAAATGTGTTCTTGACAGTTTGATGCAAGCAATAGTATAAACAACAATATATACTTATTTTTAACCGGTTCCAAGAGAAAACCCATAAATTTTATTTTAAAGGTAGTTTGAAGACAAGACTGCTCACCTCAGCTGTTTTAAGTGAATAAAATGAAGTAGAATTGTTTAGGTGCTAGTTTCTCTTTGGATGTTTCCTGTGGCTTTTTGTAATAAAGGGGAAAAATGCAGAAAATCTACACTGTGGTTCTGGGTGGAGCTGGCCCAAGTGAAGTATTTATCACTCTGATCTTATTGCAATGTCATCTTCCCAGAGAAACTTGTCTTCTGGTGTCCCAGTGTAACCAGCTACCTGTGCAGTTGTTCTTTAACAGAGATGCAGGTCAGTCAGTCCAGACAGTCTGGTTCAAAATAGTCTGTTTGAAGAAAAAAAAAAAAGCGTTCAAAGATAAGGTCAGAACTGGATTAGGGATTGATTGTTCATGCAGTTATTTGGCAGAGTTAACAAGGAAATAATTTCAGTCAGGGGTAGAGGAGAAGGAGGAGGAAGGGTGATGCCAAGCAAGTATTAACAGAATGGGGGTTTGTAGTTTTTTTGACCTGGCTTTACTTCAGACAGCACAACCTGACTGAGAGTACCCAAAGTTAATGCAGTGAAGGTTCAAACTGAAATCAAGGACATGTGCCTTTGCTGTTATTAAATTAGCATGGCTTTGTGGCAGTTCCATGGGCTAATGTAATCCTTGGGAGTGTGTATTGGGGCCCAGGAAGTATCATTTAGGAATTGGGGCTGAGTAGGTGTACTTGGCTGCTGCTTAGGTATTGGTAAAACCAATCCTGGAATGCTGCAGTTCTTGCATGAGATTTGACTGTAGATTCAGTCATCAAAATATAGGCTTGATGGGCTTTAGATGTTTACTTTGGTGTAGTCAGAAGGTATCAAGTAAATACAGTTAGTGGATTGTACCAAAATACTCAACCAGAGGGTCATCAGATATGCACTTAAAGTTTGGATGAAGTTGCCATCCTTGGACATGCTTAAAACATGCATATACCATCCTTAAGGACATGGTGTAGTGGTGGACTTGGCAGTGCTGCAGACTCTATTATCTTAGTGTCTTTTCCAATCTAAACAATTTTACTATTCTATTCATCACTTTCTAAACTTCTAAATTAGGACAGGAGTTTTACCATGTAGACCACATCTAGACTCCCACAGTGAGGTCTCCGAGTCTCAAATCCCATCTGCTGTGATCCTCTCATTGATTAGAGATCCTTCCAGGTCAACAACTGCAAGTCCAGGATGGTGTGGTTCCTATGGTAGTAGGTCCTATACCATGTTTTTCTGTTCTGTGGTTGTGTTACCTGTTAGTCCTAGATCTGTTTGAGACAGACCTGTTTGAGATAGAAACTCCAGAATACCGCTCTCCACACCTGTAAGAATAATGGAGAAGTAGGTCATCAGATGATGAAGGGAAAGCATGTTTGACAAGCGAACGTGCTGGTCAGAGCATTCATTTCCCCAGAGGGTTATAGTTGGGTATGCCTGCTGCAGTAAAAGAGGAGATTTTTAAGGGAAAAAAAGCCACACTGAATGGAGTGAGTGACCAGATCATGGGGGAATCTCTCAGGACTCTTGTAAGCAAGAGGGTAACTCCCAACAGAAACAACGTGCTTTTCTGTACTCTAGGGATAGACTGTGTGCCGGCTGTGTGTGGGAGATCCATCTTTCTCCAGGGAAATTGAAGTTTGAAGGTGGACATTGGACACTGTGGCTCCATTTGGAAGCAATGGTCTTTTCCTGAAACTATCCAGGTCTTTTTGGTCTTGTCTCTTTGGTCATCTGTTGTCTTTTGTGCAAGGTGGCCTTGTTTCAAATACTGTGCAGATAGCTGTAAAATGTAATTCATCAACTCCTGTGTTTTTGTTTTGGTTGCTTTTTTTTTTTTTTTCAGTTTTTTTGCTGCTTTCACAGTCATTACATATTGAATGCTAAAATTAAGGAATACATTAGAAGGTGATGGTTTTGTAGACCATATTTCTTCTGTGTAGGAAAATCTTGGACTTTTGATAAAACTTTCCATTGTAAGCTGATTCTGGCATGGGAAGTCTAGACACCCAGTCCTGAGCATTTCTTGCTGTTTGTCTCCAGAGAGGAGAGACACCAGACACTCGTGTTACCACTGCTGCCAGCCTGTTGGTTACCTTGCATCCTGCAGCTTGCATGCAGTGAACCTGGTAGAAGTTGGGGCAGTCTCCAGCTGCAAAAGTTGGTTGTCTCTTGTGAAATTCAGGAGCTAGAACCTTTGCCTTACCTCACGCAGTGACTACATGATTACAGTCTGCAAGTGGTTGTGTCTGGCTTTCAGACTGCTTCATTAAGAGTTAATTTATATGCAAGTTTGGTTTTCAAAAAAGACAACACACATGACTGATCCACCCTATCATAAATTTTTATAATGATAAGGTGGTGCAGGCTCATCTAAAATTCCTTCCAAAGGCGGTGTCAGATTTTTACTTTAGTCATCCTAACCATCTTTTCCTTCCCTGTATTTCTGCCATAGCAAGGCTTTGTTTACATGAGCTGGATCTTAATAGTTTTACTCCCACTCCCACCCCCACTGGCACTTTGCAACATATTGTAGATTATCATCTCTAAAACTTTAGTTTGGCTTCTTTATTTTTTATTCAGAAGCATTTGTTTTCCTCAGAATTCTTTTCCTTGAAACAGTTCTCCGCAACATTTGACTTTGGATTTGCGGTTGATGTTGTGAGGAGACTGTACTTCAGAAACAACTTTTTTGTGACTGTCTAGGAAGTGACAGAGGGGGAAGGCAGCAGGTGTATAAAGCACATTCAGGAGTGAGTTTGGAACAGGAAGGAAGGAATGGACTTCAGTCTCTGCTGATTAGGATGGAGGTGTGGGAACCTCTAGAAACTAGCCAGCATGTGGATGGCTGGCAGGCTTGGCAGAGATAATGAGCATTAGTGAGGAAAGTAGAGATCTAGACAGGAGAACATTTGTAGGAGGTCAGGAATCTTTATGTCATTTCTCCTCATCCAATGATAAAAAGGAAATATGTTTACAGGTTTCTAAAGAATGCCAGAGAAGCAGAAGGTAGAGAAGAGCTGAGGGCAGTGAGTGAGGATCCCAGAGTGATTTGTTTTACTTTGTGCTGACAAAGCCATGTGCATAATTGATCCAGGTGAAACGCTGTGCACCTTCATTGCCACCTTACCTCCTTCTGATGAAATCTAGGTAAAATGTTTGTGCTCTGCTGTGTGTTTCTAGAAGGTCAAACAACATGGTGCTATCAACACCTTAACCCACAGATGAGCAGTGTAGTGGTAATGCAACTTCCTCCAGAGCTCCTTTCCCTTATTGCAATTTTTCTTGATAGAGTTATGAGACCCTAAAATGTGCTTTCAGGATCTATGAGATGGGGGGCTATTATACTGATAAATCTTTCATGAGTTAAGACCTTTAAGTGTAGAGCTGACTCATGCAGTCTTAATGTGTAAGGTGTGTGGGTTTGCTCTTTGGTCAGGTCAAATTAGGGTAAAGTCAGAGAAGCCTGAAGGAAAAAAAAGAAAATTTAGGGGTAAAGGTTGTACTTGGTTTTAGCCTTAGTGTGCTATCAGAAGTGTAGCAGGAAATTCAGTGTTTCATTGACATTTCCACCAAAAATGTTTGAAAACCCTGGTAGCTCTCTGTTGAAGTTTAAGGGAGAGAAGCATTTTTGCTGCAAGACATGCATTTGTGGCACCCAGTGGGCACTAATGTATTTTTGAAATGTAAAAGTCAGGCAGCCACAAAATTTAGCTGGAATCCATTTCTGTGTTGTGTGGGGTGATGAAGAAGGTAGTTGCTGTACAGTCCATAAAATGAAAAATCTTTAGAAAATATTGTCATTTCTAAGGAATATGTTGATGAGAATAATACAGTAATTTAATCTTGAGCTAGGATTTCAGTTATCTGGTTTTGGTACTGTATGGGTTTATTTTTGTATGGGTTGGGGTTTTTCCTCCCTTTTAGGGAACAAATGGACACAACCTCATTATAGTATACCAGGTCTCCAACCATACATTCATGCATGCAGAGCTGGGTTCTGAAAGAAGTTTGTGTGCAGATGATGTACTTGACTGTATTCAAACTGAAAGTTTGATGAAAGATGTAAAAGGGTCTGAAGAAAATGGAGGATTTAATTCAGAAAGTTGGGCCAGGATCCTCTGTCCTAGGCAACAGAGTTTCCCTCATTATATCTAGTTTTCTAAGAGTGAAGTCAGGTTTACGTCACCTGTTACATGACACTCTAGTAAAGCTGGTGAAACAAGCCTTTTATGACACTTTTTGTGGTGTGTAACATTTTCTTCTTATTTGTAGCATTTCACAATGCAGTCCTTTGAGAAGAGAAAGCCCACTTTCTCCTCTCCTGGGTTCTTTCTAAATGGGACGATGCCATGTTCAGGAAAACATTGCAAGCCTGTGTTGAAAGTCTCTCTTCCAAGTGTCAAGTATTTCAACTCAAGTTGAAATCCAGTTTTTCACCAGTTTCTTCGTAGCAGGAATGCAAAAACATATCCCTGATTCACCAAATAACTAGGGTCCATTAAAGATTAGTTATCCATTACATTGATCATTTATTACTTTATTACAGCTGTCACAAAATAGTCTACAAAGAAATACACTAATTTTCAGTCAACCAGCTTTGTAAAGACTTATTTTAAAGAACAAATAATGTGGAGGAAAACCATAAACTACAAAAATAGTCAACTTAGGTATTACTCTAAGTTTTCCAAATTGCGTAAAAATAGATGTTGCTCATATGTTATACAATGCATCTGCTCTTAAATGTGGTAGTTATGTTTAAATATTTAAGTGTTTCAATAGTGTTAAATAGTTTTATACTTGTTTTAAATTAAATTCTTCTGGCAAAGAGTTTTTTATTTTGTTTCTGTTGTGCTCCAGACTCTCCTACAGATTTTTGGTGTGGTGGCTGTGGCTGTGGCAGTGATTCCTTGGATACTCATCCCCTTAATTCCACTATTTATTATTTTCATTTTTCTTCGACGATATTTCTTAGACACTTCAAGAGATATTAAACGTCTAGAATCCACAAGTATGTAGTTTGGCGGGACTTAATGTTAGTTTGAACCCTACTTATTATTATGTGAAATGGTAGTATTTTATAGACAGTCCATCAAAGGTTTTTTTTTCTTTTGCTATGCAAATAGCTTCCTTATTGCCTTGGTTCTCAACTAGTGAATTACATGCTGAACTTCTGTTTTGCATAATGATAAACCTAGGGTATGTCAGTTAACTATCTGTAAATAAAGTTAGTTACCAACATGCTAAGCTGCTGGTCTTTGGGACCTTGCATGCATATACTAATGGTATTTCTGACCTTATCTGACTCCTGTGCCAGACTTTAGCTTGACTATGATATGGAATATTAAGCATTATGCATAACAAACATGGATGCCTAATGTCATTAATAAAGCTCAAAGAATTACTTCAGTGACAGCCATTGTTAGAAATGTAAGACATTTTTGTATAAATTAATCTGCCTGGCTGTCTGACTGATTCTAATAGGGTAAGAGAACATTAGTTAAAGATACTGCATATTTATTCTAAAAAGGTGCAGTAGAGTAGTTTGTATGGTTAAATATAAAGTGGTAGGATTAAAGATTAGTGTGGTACAAAAAGAATTAAATGTTGTCCTTCAGCTATTGTTAAGTTAACTCTCATTTCCCTTTGTAGCTCGAAGTCCAGTGTTCTCCCACTTGTCATCATCCCTCCAGGGTCTTTGGACTATTCGGGCTTTGAAAGCAGAGGAAAGATTTCAAAAATTATTTGATGCACACCAAGACCTCCACTCAGGTTTGTGATGAATTGATGTGAAAAATCAAATACTTTGCACTGTAGGAGGGAAATATCTTATGCCCTCAGCGACATGTATATAATGTGCATTAAAATCAGTAGGAGCTGTGCATTTGTCTCTTTAGGGTAAAATTCCTGTATTAGAACAAAAACATTATCTGTCTAGATTTAGAGAGTTTACTTTGGGCGGTAATATAATTTAGAATATCCATGCATATGTTTTAACAATGTATAAGATAAACATTTGAGCAGATATTATTAGTATAAATAATCCTGAAAAAGTTTCATAAATCTAGCTTATTTTTTACTTTGAGCAGCTTTCAGGGCTTAAATCTAAAATACGGAATTATGGAACATAATTGGAAGGTTTGAAATATTGGTATTCTGCAAGCATAAGTAATATAATTCAGGTTTGCACTGTGATTCTTTGACTTCTGTTATTTAAATGTTTTCTATTACAATGTTCTTCAAGATATAGCAGAATGCAAGTTTTCGGTTCTGTGTTTGTTAGGTAAGATTGTGAATTTCCTGTTTTTTTACATATTTGTATGTAAGACATACAAATATATTTGATGGCTGTTTTGTAATTTGTAGATTTATGTGATTTCAGACAAAACCAGCTGAGCCTTTTTGAAGTACAGTGTATCGCAAGTTGTAGCATCATACACCCTGACCATGTTGAGCTCAGTGACTTGTGACTGGTGTAGTATATCTTCCAGGGAGTCACCTCTAGCTTTGAATTTCCCATTTCTTAATATTTTATAGTTGCTAGTTCTCTGCCCAAATCAACATTACAGTACCTGATAGCAGGGGAAGACAAAGTTGTGGTTTAGTTTTGTATTAAAAGACATCTTTAGGCAATAAACTCTGTATAGAAGTTTCACTAGACAAAGAGGACCTTGACGTTTAAGAGAATATTTTTCTGTATTTTAAAGTCAGATCCAGGGAACATAAAAACACTTTCATTTTTCAGTCAGTTTGTGCATCTCCCTAACAAAACTGTCAATAATCCCCTTCCTGGGCAGATCATAGACCTGTTTTTGAGGTCAAGCCTCAGTGCTTGCAGTCACACTCTTCTGTGTTCCTACACACTTTGTCTTGGTGTCTTTCCCACCCAAGCCTTTGGGGTACACCAGCTGGTTTAAAGTGTGTTTTGGTTTTGGTCCTCGCTGGGAATGTGTACGTGGACAGCAAAGGAGGCCAACACCATCTGGGCTGTGTTAACAGGAGAATAGCCAGGGGAAGGAGGGAAGTGATTGTCCCCCTCCACACTTGTTAGCCCACACTGGGACTACTGCATCTTGTTGTGGACCCTGAGATCTGGGAAACATTCTGACAAACTGGAGTGAGCTCCCTGGAGGGGACGGTAAGATAGTTAGGGTATTAACAAGAGATATTTCCTTGGAGGTAGCTGGGTTTGTTCAGTTCACAGAGTACAGAGGATTTAATAGCTGCCTTCTGCTACCTGCAAGGATGTTGCCATAAATACAGGTTCCTCACCATGGTACGTAGTGGTAGGAGCAACGACATGGCTGTAAGCTGTAACAAGAGATGTTTAACCTCTTAGAATTAGAATTCAAGGAAAAACTATTCCACTGTGAGCACAGTCAAGCAGAGGCAAAGATTGCCCAGCGGGGCAGGCTTCAACTGTGTCAATTTTCAAGGCTCAAACTGCATAAAGCAAGGAGCAACGTGGTCTGACCTCTGACCTGACTCTCCTTTAGCAGGAGGCTGAACTAGAGATTTCCTGAAGTTGTTTTCACTCTGAATAGTTCTTTGATAGTAAATGTGAGCAAGCAGTAGCTGACGTAAGAGAGCACCTTTCAAACCAGCTCACAAAGCTGGAGTCCTGGGTTTTAAAGTCTCCTAAAGAGTTTTAAATTCTTTTCTGCATTGCAGAAGGCTCTCACAACTAGCTATGGTTTTGTTTAGCACTACTGGCTGGAGTAGTACCTTCCTCTCTATTTAGGCCTGAGCCTAGGACTCAGGACACTCGATTGGAACCCCTTTGAGGGATGCCTATGAATGGAGTGTTAAACAAATTTTAAATCAGAAACATCTAAAAGGCAGGCTGACATTTGATCAAACCCAAAGTTTCTTTCCTCCCAGTGCCCATCTCTATAAGCAAGCCCGTGAGTCGTCAGATCACGATGAGTCTTTATCAGTTCCTGTGGCAGTCAGATCCCTTTCTTTATGCACAGTGACCCCTGTTGCATTGGAAGGTTGCAAAATGACCCACCTCAAGCTGGCAGTTTAATGCACCTCCCTGGACAATTAGGATCAGTGGAACAAAAGTTCCATAATCTGGCTATCCAAGATGATCAGACTTATAACCATACTTGCCTGCTCTCTGTCTTATAAAAGGGAGAATTTTTTTAGTCTGAATTTTTTCCAGCATTGGGCTAAGGAACACTGAACAGTTGAAACTGCAGTGATCTTTAGCAGGGAGTAATGGCAAGCAAGGCAGAAAGGGTTGGAATGGTAGCCTTTTGCTGTGACTTGGTAGTAGCTGGAACAATTCCTCTGAGTGCAGCCTAAACAGTAATTAATGCCACGCTTTATTATGGATACTTTGCTTCTGATTTTGGCCCTGGATTCAAACACTTTGCCTTCTGTATTGCAGTGCCTTTTTGTGCTGTATTTAGCATATCTACCTGGCATGGAACTTAGCACCAAATTGCTATTTGAGTGCAGAGTGGAGATGTCCACCTGTGAGCTTCCCCAAAAGTAAAATTACATGTCTAATCATCTGAATAGCTCTGTATAGCTGCAGTGGCTGTATTGAGTAGCTTCTACAGGAGCTTAACCAGCTGCAGCTGCCTTCTAAAAACTTGGCTCTGACAGTTGTGTTGTGATATGTTCTAGCTAAAATCCTGTAGACTCTAGTTCAGCTACAGTAAATGCAGTTGTACTTTAGCCTTTTGTGTAAGACTTGAGTCCACTAGAGTTGAGAAGAGGCTTCCATTTTGAATAAGTGGACCATGCTTCGAGACTTCACTGTTTTTCTTTCTCTTCTTATTGTGGTTGCTACTGGTGTGAAAACTAAATTAGACAATTTCAGGAGAACTGGTCAGTATCCTGATCATCATCAGTCCATGCAGACATGCACTTGAAGATGGCAGTGTTGGTTTTTTTTGACAACTCGTATTATTAACATTAATTAATTTAGTAATAATTATACAACTTTGTTTTCTAATAATCCACTGGTTTTGTGTCTTTATAAAATACATTTTAGAGGCCTGGTTTCTCTTCTTGACAACCTCAAGGTGGTTTGCTGTGCGTCTGGATGCCATCTGTGCCATTTTTGTTATAGTGGTTGCTTTTGGTTCCCTGCTTCTCGCCAAGAGTAAGTACAGATGTTAGAAAAAGTTCACCCAGTAATTACCATGTATAGTAATGCCTAATTCTTTTTCATATGTTGCTGTTTCTAGTTGTTTAAAGGCTGTAATTAAGTTAAATGTTTCTTTCTAGATCATGATCTCTTCCTTAGTCTATGGCATTGGGGCTGTATCTGCTTTCCTGCAAATACTGGAGGCAGTTCAGACATCTTCCGGGCTGAGGCATATATCTGTCATCATCCCCAAGTGTGCAAACAAACGTGCACTTCTCTAGTCTTCACTTTTGAGATTCTGGCTTTCAGAGCAATAACAAGAAATAAATCTTACTCTGTTTCCCTGCCTTTGTCTTTCTCTTTTGGGCCTACAGGGCTTTGCTTTTCATACTGAAACACCCACGGAGCTGCCTCTTTACAATGTTTTTCCTTTGCACATGGTACAGTAGGTCAAATGGCAAACTAAACTTCCTAGGGATACTCTTCTCATATCTTGGATCAGTGGGATAGTCCAGTTCCAGAAAGAAAATTGCCTTATAATAATACATTTTATGTTCACTGTCACTCATGAACTGTCATTAGTGTATGCATCATCCAGGATGTAATTGGGTTAGATGTACTAGAATGAGATAGTCATCTAAAACATGAAGGAAGATGTAATTATCTTGGACATGAAAATTAGTGCTAATTTGCTGGTTTTGTTTCTTTTCTTTTTTCTTTGGATAAGTTTTGTATGTGCACGTGTGTTTTAAAATTTGAATGCTCGATGCTGCACAAGTCTGCAAATTTTGAGCTAGGTTTGATGTTAGTAGAATGCAAAAAGACAAGTCAAAACAACGGTCCTGAATCTTTCCTTGCCTCTGGATAAAGAATAGTTCTCTTGAAGTCAATAGAACTATATTAGGATAAAGTTCAAATAAGTCAGAGGACAGTCATGCTTAATATTGGGGCAGACAGAATACATTTATTTTGTGAGAGTAGACCCACTGAACACAGAGAAGAAATATTCTGTCCTGTTACTTTATCTGACTGCTTATAGGAGGACAAAGTTGATGTAAGTGTTCATAACTAATTTTGAAATGATTTTATGCAAAATTTTTGCTTAGATTTAGGGCCTTATCAAATTTCTGTAGAAAAATAGGGAGGAGTTAACTAATGCTCAGCCAGACAGGGATGACCCTAACAATCCATGTAAGTATGATCTTGAGACTGAGCCTCAGTTTTTAGATAAACACCAGGCCAAGGAGAATTTGGATTATCTTGTTAAAATGTCTCCAGAATGTACCCCAAAAATGCAGCGAGTAGCCAGCTATTCTGCCTGGAGCTACTCATTGCACAGATAGCAAGTAGCACATAACCAAATAAAATTCTGGCTGTGATGCTTCCATCATGTACGTAACCTCATGAAAGAGAGCTTAACTGAGATTTTGCCTAATTACAATTTACCTATTCAAGTCTCATTTTCCTTTCTTCTGCAGCTCTGAGTGCGGGGCAGGTTGGTTTGGCACTCTCCTATGCAATCACCCTCATGGGATCGTTCCAGTGGGGTGTTAGACAAAGTGCTGAAGTTGAAAACCTGGTAATGTTTATTTCTTCCTTTTCCCCTCTTGGTTCCTTCCATGCTTATGACATGAAACCTTAAGGATGATATTCTTCTTAATTAACTTAGGATATTAATACCTTAGCAAGGAATTGAGGCACCACTCTGCTGTCATAAAGAAAAATAACTTCTTTTAGGTTATAAATTGTCTGACTGGTTTTGAATGTTTGTTGAGGTGAACTGTGTCCAGGGATTGTCCTCTGGATGGGGACTGTCCAGTTACAGTATAGATGATTGTATTGCAACTTATTAAAAATTAAAATTAATCCCTTTCTATAAGGAAGATTTTAAATTATGTTTTTCTATTTGGTACTTATAATGTATTGTTATTTATTATTACATTTAAAAAAAATATTTATATCCCTCAGGGCATTTTAGAGTCCTGTTATTTCACTGCAAAGGCTTAGAACTTTTTAATTCATTCTAACGTAACACAAATGTGAAAGTATTTGTTTATATTCATCTGAGAAGGTTGTGTTTTTTCCAAAATATATAATATAGAACACCTTTGACCAATTCATAATATTTACTAGCATGTTCTAATTTGCCTGTCTACTTTCTTAAGATGATACATAAGAAAATTAGATTGTAAAAAAAATGCTAAACATAAAAATGGGATTTTTTTTTTGTTGTGTTGACAAGTGAAGTTACCAAAAATTACAGTTTGCTGTATGTAGTCTAGGAAATGTGTAGTCTTTTTGTAGAAGTTACAAAGCCAAGCTTAACTAATAATAATGAAAATAATGAAGGTAGAATTTTTTTTTTGCTGTCATATTGCTTTTTCAGTGCATTTTTCACACACCAGTAGACTGGTGGTGACAGATTTTTTTGAGAAATGGGAAGAAAGCTTTCAGGTTTTTTTCATGCCATTGGGGACATTTTGGAAGTGCCTGCGTGAGTGTCACATGTACTGAGTTGCTTTCTTGGAGACTGTGACTCAGAAATACCTTGGAAGAGAAAGTCCATTCACTAACCTGGCTTTGATGTGAAATGCTGATCATTTTATGGAACTATGATTAGCATCAACTTCTTTGATAGGTGGACATCCACCAAAAATCCCTTGTTATTAAAGGGTGACTACACCTGCAAGAGCATTTCATCTCCATTCTGTTGCTACCTGGTTAAGGGAAGTGATTGTCACACTCTGCTTAGTGGTGGTGCACCCTTGTTTTCAGTCCTGTGTGCAGTTTTGGGCAGCACAATGCAAAATGAAGCTGTTGGAGATCATCCAAAGGAGGGTCATGAGGATGATGAAGCATCTGGAGGGAAAGCCTTATGAGGAGTGGCTGAGGTCACTTGGGATAAGAGGAGACTGAAGGGAGACCCCGTTGTGGTCTGCAACTTCCTTGTGAAGGGAAGGAGAGGGGCAGACTCTGACCTCTTCTCTTTGGTGACCAGTGACAGGACCTGAGGAGCCTAAAGTTATGTCAGGGGAGGTTTAGGCTGGATACTAGAAAAAGATTCTTCACCCAGGTTGGGCACTGGAACTGGCTCCCCAGGGAAGTGGATGTGGCATCAAGTCTGCCAGAGTTCAAGAAGTATTTGGACAATGCTCTTAGGCACATGGTGCAATTTTTTTGAGGGGGTTATCCTGTGCAAGGATAAGTCAAACCCATTCATGTAGTTCATTTGGTAGTTTCATTCCTAGATTTGTCTTTCCAACACACAATGGATTGGTGTTATCTTAGTCAAGACTGACAAACAACTCTCTTAGCTTAATTTTCTTAAAATGTATGTATTTAGGTTTGTAATTAATCCTACTGATGAGAAACGCTTATGAATGGCTTTATGTATCATGATATATCTGAATCTGTGGTAGGACATGAGATGTATTCTTTCCACTTTTTTAGTTATATAAAGAAGGCCTAGAATGACACCAGATACTCTTACCTGTGTTTAAAAGAAAAACCATGGAGTAATTTGCATTGAATCTCTATGGTAAAAATACGCACACATACTTATATGCATGCAGTATTTGCAGTGTATGCCATAGGATGAAGTTCATGTATCTATGTTGTCTTTCCTCCCCTTAGATGATATCAGTAGAGAGAGTGATGGAATACACAGAACTTGAAAAAGAAGCTCCTTGGGAGACCAACAAACATCCACCACCAGAATGGCCTAACCAAGGAATGATAGCATTTGAGAATGTTAACTTCACTTACAGTCTAGACGGACCATTGGTTTTAAGACATTTGTCTGTTGTAATTGAACCAAAAGAAAAGGTAGGTATACAGCTCTCTTTGGATATTCACAGAAATTAAGCAAAGATGATGACTTGAAAAGAAGCTGCATGTTGGAAATGCATTATAAAATATGTGGATGTTAGGATAATAGTAAGTGTTCTTTTAAAAAATTAAGCTTTAGTTATATTTAGTAACAAAAGTTACAGCCTATTTATTTCTGGCAAGTGTGGCATAAATTTGTCTGGGAACATGATATTTCAGTCTGTCAAAACAAGGGATTAAACATACCCGATAATTTCCTTAAAAATATCTAAGATTCTTCAGAGAGTGGCAGACATTGAAAATACCAGCCAAGCCCAGAATGTTTGTTCAAATCCAAAGCAAATGGATTTGCTGCATTAGGAAACTGGGGATTCAACGCAGGGAACATAATTGGAATCAGGTATGTCAACAGACAAGGTGAGCAAAACCAATGGAAAATAAGGAATGTACATGCCCTTGCACTGAGCCCGAAATGGAAGATAGAAATACAAATCAGTTTCATAACTTCAGAATTTGGGATTTTATTTCAGTTCCTTTTGGCTACCAATCCAATTAACTCTTGTCATTAATTAGATTGGTAGCCAAAAGAAACATAGAAATAAAACTCTTCCTCATCTGCAAATATGACTCCTCCTCCCCAATTTTGACACTATCCCTGTTGAAAGAGTGCTGCAGGGAAGGTCTCCCCCACAGACAAAATTAAATTGGAGCCCTGAAGTGTTAATTTGTGCTTTGCCATATTTCAAATGCAGGTGTACCTTTTTGATTAGGAGGTCTTCCCTAGGAGGCTGGTTCAACTCTACAATCCTTGCCCTTGCTTCCTTTTTAACATGCTTTTGTATTCAATTCCAAACCCATTCATTTCCTCAAGTGGGCCTGTTAATAACATGCATGTTACAAAAATTCAACTGGACTTTGCTACATTGAGATGATTTTCTGGAATTAGCTGTAAATGAGTTAAAAATGGTCTCTTGAGAAGAGCCATGTGGGCTGTCTCCTTAGCTGTTTTATGTCCCTCCAATATAGACTAGAAGTTCTATATTTCTCAGTGAGAGACAGGAATAAAATTAAAAACGGAAGCAAGACATACTAGCAATGCATGCCTCAGTCCTGGGTGGGGGCAGGAGAGAGAGGGATGACTGGGGGTATTTCTTTTTGCTGAGCAGTTATGCTGTGGTTTCGTCATCCTGAATTTGCCCAGCTTGAAACTTGCCAGGAACTGTGTTTGCTTTCTATAATGTTTTGCACAATACTGCAGTAGGCTGTATTCTGTGTAAAATAAATCTCCCAAGCATCTCTCCTTCTTATATTGCTTTTAATTATGGAGATGCATCTTCTCCAGAACCAGGTTTCCAGATGTGCTGGAGATTCTGCCCAGACTGCTGCCATTGAGAGCTCTTACGACTCAGGCATCTGGCTTAGAGCGACTTTTGGTGGCTGCAGTACCCCTGGCAGCAGGAGTGAGTTTAAGCTTCTGCTGTACTTGTAGTTTTTTTTGTAGCCACCCAGTTTGGGAAGCTGTGGGTACAGTGAGAATGAAAGAGGTGACTGCTAGCAAATCACTCAGAGGTTAAGGTCCCTTTTGATATGTCTCGGCATTCAGTATTTCCCTATAGTCAAAGGAGGCTTAGAAGGACCCTGTGTTTTAAACATCTTTGCTAAAGTAGTGTGGTCTGACAGAGACAGACCAGGGAGACACAACCTGCTGTGCCTGTAGCTGGCAGTGATTAACCTCCTCTGCTACTATAGCTGCAGCAGGGGGAGGTTAGCATGTGTAGCATTGGGTTTTGCACACCTCTATCTTTGTTTCAGGGGAGCTCATGAATGCTTATTGGCCAACATATTGTTAAATGTGCCTTCTCCTGACAGCTTCTGGATCTGTGGGCTAAGTGAAAAGGTTAGGAAGGTGCACATGTAGATTTACGGCATGGCAGCTGTGCTCCCACAACGTACCATGCAAGGGAGGTCGCCGGAGGGATAACAAAGACTTGGGCAGTTTCAGTGGAGTAGCTGACATGCTGTAAATCTCACATTTTTTGTGCAGCTCTGCACAAGTACAAGTGACACTTGAGTAATGACGAGCCCAGCGTGGCAGGTGTACTCCTGTGTGTGCACATGGCTCGCATCAGGCAGCACAATCCTGGCCCTGTGATTCCTGACAGGTGCCACTTCCATTTGCAGACAGGTGCAGTATTTGCACGGGTTGTGAGTGTGGGCCTCTGAAGAATAAAATGTATTAAAAAAATGGATAATATACTGAAATGATAGTATCATAATATCATTACTACTAGTAATGCTGAGAGCTATTTCAAATTCCTGTCAATTTTCAACAGCCTGTAGTCAATTGGACCAAAGATGCAAATAGATTTTTCTAAATGTTGAAGAGCATAGTCCTTTCATTTGATGCCAAACTGAAAGTGGGATTTTGACAATATGCAGAGCAGCTGCATTTTTATTTTAAGTATCAATGTAATTTTTTAATGTTTTTTTCTTTATATCCTTGATACAATACTTTATATTGACATATAACAATTGAGGAACAATTGAACTTTCGTTTTCACAACTCTGGTTGTCTATGTTCTCTATTCAGCATTTTCTTTCTGAGCTGTAGTTTATTCAGAACTATTTTTCCATTGTTTCACTGGTATAATTTAGAGTATTAGACATTTTATCATTTCTTGTAACAGATTTGCTTAAATTAGTCTGTTTAATAATAGGCACTGTAGAAATGTTAATTAGTTTATATACAATAGTACAATAATGAATGGTTGGATGAAATTGTTGAATCAGAATGTAGAAATAGAAAATACCTTTCAGATTATGCAGTGTAAGTTGCTCCTTGAAGTGTACTATTTCACTGTAGTATGTATTTTTTATCAAATGTGGACAGTCCTGTTTTGTCTGAACTTAGTGTCTCTGACTGAAAGTTTCTCCTTGCACTTTGATGCAGTTTCCTGCGCTGAATTTCATTTCAGCAGTCATTGCTGCATACATGTGAGTCTCAGGCAGTGGGTAATTGCCCTCTGGTGTCTGTACGTATGCTCATGAAGGTTTTCATCTTTCTTCCTCCTTTCTGCACCCCAATCACTTCACCAAGCCATATTATACATGCTTAATCCTCATAAATCCTTCACATCAAACCAGTATCTCCAACCCATATTAATTTTGTTTTGCACTGCTCTGAACTTTTTCCGGTGTGCTGATTTTTTTTTTCATTTTATTTTTTTTTTAAATGTAGGGATTAGAACAGAATGCAGGAAATAACAAATTCTGCCAGATCAGATCTGTATAGAGGGCCATTATCTTCTCTGATGCAATTGATTACTGTACACTGTTTTTCTCTAAGAATCCTTTTTCTGAATGCAACATTAAAAAAAAATTAAAAGAGAAGAAATATTTATAGGTCTTAGATCCTTGTCATTAAGCTATCAATCCCATATTTTTCATTGTCTCTTTTTTCTGAAAGCTTTATTTTTTTTTTCACACTGCATATATCTTCCAGTTTTTCTCTGGGAACAAAGAGAACCATGAATCTCTGTGATTTTATTATTTGCTGTTTCTTCTGTTTGAAAAGGAATTTCAGCTTGATGTCATGGCCTTGTAGTTTCAGTACTTGAAGATGTCTGAAGTATGGATACAGTTTATAATCATGCTACTTTAAAGTACTTCACCTTAACCATAACTAACCAAAATCAGTCTCAATTATTTAACTTGGGAATACATTGCTCCCAGAGTGCTTTATGGGAGTGCTTCTTGGGGTTGAGTAGTAGATGCATGCTTGAAATGATTTGCCTAACATCACTCAACAAACCAGGTTTAGTATAAAAATTAGCAGTTGATGAATCACATTACTGTATGCATTGAGCCACTTCATCTTGTTTACACAATAGGACACCACACATTAAGGGAGAATCATTCACCTTTGAATATGATCCAAGAAATTGTCGTGTATACAAATGTCACCTGAATCCAGACTGATTTAAGGGGAGAGGATTTTTCCCCTTGGAAGAATGTTAATTACAGAGAAGTTTTATTTGGTGCATGTTCTACTGTAAATCCTATGATGCTGTAAAAATGTTGCTTGACATATTAATTTCTCCTGAAAAGCTCTCAGTTTAATTGTACAGGCCTGGCTTGCTCTGTAGGTTGGAATAGTGGGAAGAACCGGAGCTGGGAAAAGCTCTCTGATAGCAGCCCTCTTTCGCTTGGCGGAACCTGAAGGAAGGATTTGGATTGATAAGTACTTGACATCAGAGCTGGGACTCCATGACTTGCGGAAGAAAATTTCAATTATACCTCAAGTAAGAGAGTGACTTGGTTTGCCATGGATGTTTTGAATATGATACCATAGCGTTTAAAGTGCTTTGCTGGGATATGTTCCCCCTGCACCTCTCTGTGCAGTAGGCACAGGAACTGCAGCAAGGCGTTATTCTTACTTGAGTGAGGTCTTGATTATTTTAAGATAAGCAGAATCAATTTTGGGGACTGGAGCATTTTTTTCCTAGTTTTGTACCCTGTCTGTTCCTTTGGAATATCTGTGCTAGCTGTATGCTGTCCTCCCATAGTCTGGGGAAAAGCAGAGAAAATCTGGTAAGTATATGAACCAATCTTCAGCAGTCCATTGAAGTCGCTTGATCCTTTGGCAGCAATTCCTGCCTGAAGCTTCCTTAGTAAGGGACTTTGAAGAACCACTTCCACCTCTGTGGTCACCTCTGTACAAAATGACTGGTGCTAGATTTAGAAAGAGCAAATGTGCTGCCTAGAAGTGAGCTATCAGCTTTTGCGTTACTTGGAGGAGGTTGGACAAAGAAGACCAGGGGAACAGACTAAGGAGTAGACCATGATGACCTATAATAAATAAAACTTGATGAATTTTAGAAGCTGAATGCAAGAAAGGCTGCAGTGCAGGGAAAAAACCCAGTAAGGCAGTGCTGGAAATAGCCTCATCTCTCATGCTGGAGTAGAAGATAGGCTGTTGAAATAAGTCCAGTAGGTCACACAGATCTCTCTCAGAGTCTTACTTTCAGGAGACATTGTATCAGAGAATGGTTATGTATAACCTTAAAACTTAAAAGGCAAAGTCTGTGCATATTACAGTTTCACCAGAGCTCTGGTCTCTTCTGTGGACATTAGCTCTCCAATGGAGAGGGAGAGGGAGGTAAATTGAAAAGCTCATATGCTGCAAATGTGAAGTCATATTTTGGAAAGTAGTTCATCTGCACTGTTCTAGCAGTAGAGTGAAGATTTTATAAGAGAATTGGTATTTAGAGTTATGTCTGAATGTGTGGTAGTCTGTTGTCAGGCTGGCAGAGTGTATTACTTTCTTTAAGCTGAGAATCTAATACAAATGGTAATGAGGCTTTTTTTTTTTTCCCTCAAAGAATAGGAGTGAAAAAGAAACAGGTATGCTATTGAAAAAATAAAAAATAGGTACTTCCCCAGCAATTGGATTGTTGCCTAATGCAGGATGTCTTTTGTTTCTGCATGCTGCAGGCTTTGTTATTGCAGTACTCACTGGAACTAGTCATCTTTTGTATGTAAAGAGAACTTTATATGGATTTAAATTCAGTTTTTTGTTTGTGTGTAGTGTTCCTTTCTTGTGAAAGCAGATGATCATCAGTTCATTCAAGGTCTACAGCTCTTTGAAAGCCTTGCCCATAGCTATTGTGGGTGATTTTTACATTTTGAAGAATTCAGCCCAGCTGAATAAAATAGGATGCTGAGACAGGAAAACTGCAGGTCAAATACAGTTTCTACATGTTGAATGATAGAGATGCTCAAAGTTCACTGCATTCAATTATACATGTGAGGTTTTTTCATACACTGGTCTTTTGACATAGTTTTAATACTGTTTTAATCCAGTGGAATTCTGTGATTTTTGTCAAGTTTATATAAGGTTTGCATCATAGTCCCAAAAGTTTTGAGTGTCCAAAGGCTAGCAGGTAACGTTTTGTAATTTTGTTTTTATGTACGGGAAGGCTGTTTCTACTAAAAAATGGGAAACTGTCAAGTGATTGTATGAAGAAGAGGAGGAAGGAGGGTTTGGGATCAAGTTTCTGCTGTGGTTAACTGTATGATAGGCATTGTCTTGTACTGTGCTAATAGTAGTGTCAATAATGGGAATAGCAGTGTAACATTAGGTAGTTACTTTGCAGCAAATATCTTCATAATTATGTGGGCAGCTGAAAAACCAGAGAGAGAGATGCTTATTAGAATTGCAACATAAAACATGCTAAACAGAACCATTCCTAGAGAGTGATGAGGCAAGAGTGAAGTTTCCTTGTGTGTGAGTTTAAATACCTACCTGGAGAAATAAAAATGTGCTTAGGCTTCTAATTGCTTGCTTGGATGGAGCTGTGTAAAGGTTGTGTTTGTAAATCTTTTCTATGCAAATTCTGTTGTTAGGACCTTTATAATAGTTACGAACACTTTATAGGTTCGGCCTCTTCTTTTGTCAACCTATAAAAATGGATTGAAACGGAAAATAAATTTAACAATACTTTCAAAATACGTCAAATGTTGTATTAAAATGTCTATTGTTAAACAATTTAGTTTCTAGGTGTTTTTGAAGGAGACTGTTTTTAGGCCTGGAAATGTTTTGTGTTAAATCCTTTTGCTCATTCAACAGGTTTTTAGTGACATTGCTATTGCAGCAGATACTTACAAATAATTGGCATGTTCATTCAAGAAGTGTGTATTTTCTTGTATATTGCTTATGGCATATTCTGTGTTTTTAAATTGTTTTATAGCACTCAGATGGATTAGAAATTAAAAGACAATAAAAGAGTTAAGGTCTGAATTCTCTTCTGGTTTGCTGCAGCTCTTTGAAGCTGGGCATCACTAGGGTTAGATGGGGAGAAAGTAATGACAGGTTAATCTCAGAATAAGCTGAAGTTACCCAGTGTAAGTTAGATTTTATTTCCCAGGGGAGAAAGGAAAAAAAAAACCCAACACATTTTGTCTAAAATCTCCCCAGTTTAAAGAAGACTGACAACATGATGAATGGTCTCCATTTATGATGAGCACTGTTACAGCTTTTGACTTGTTTTTGTCTTTATGTGTGGTATGAAAATGAGTTTAGCCCTAAAGTCGTGTCAGTGCATGACTCACAGGTCTGGCAAATCACATTACTGAGTACTGATCTGTTCCTTAAGGAGTTTTGAACCAAAGTAGTTTCCCCACTTCTTAAATACTACAAGTTTCAGTGTGATTTGATTTGTGCCAGTTTGATTAATTATCTGTTATTGCTCTGACTGGGAGCTGAAGTAGAACAAAACTTGCTTCGACCACAGGTAAACCCACATTGGTACCTGAATGGGAGAAGGTACTGATTTGACTCCCTGGTGTATTTTGAGTGAGAGCTTTGCCCAGCAGTGCTCCAGTTCTAAGTCAGTTTGCTTTGGGGCTGTGGCAGGTTAGATAAACTTTGATGTGTTTAGGTTTTAAATGGTGAAAGCTGTTTCTGCTTAGCCCTGATGGTAAAATGGAAGGGCTTTTATGGTACGAAATGAAAAAAAAAACCAAGCCCACAGCCAAACACAGAAGGAAAACCGGAAAGGCATTGTGAGCTCTTTGATTCCTCTCTGGTTTATGTACTTAAAAAACAGGTTTCCAAAACTGCCCAAAAGTAATTTAGGAGTGCGAGCTCATTGACAGTGCTAGTTGTTGGTTTTCATTAACAATACCATGAGGATAGCAATGATTTCATATAAGTATATATATAGCTTGTGGCATCAGAACAGTGGCATGTAAATGCCCGTTCAAGTACCAACATAACTGTGTACAACAGTTTTCAAACAGACCTGTCCTGTTTGGTAAATTATCTTCATACAGAGTAGTTGAACACTTGCTTCTCCCACCCCCCCACATCTCCCCCTAAAGCATGCAGTTGTAATAAACACCTTTGCATTTCAAAAATGATAGCTTCTTGTTGGCTATTTCTGTGCTATTGTTGATTTAGGTTAGCTGTGATTATCATTAAGTTACCTATTGCATTATGAAACTTGCATTTCAGGAGCCTGTTTTATTCACTGGAACTATGAGGAAAAACTTAGATCCTTTCAATGAATACACTGATGAAGAGCTGTGGAACGCCTTAGAAGAGGTGACTTACTAAATCTGATAATATACACCTGGTATTTAAAATCCACATAGCAATAACATTACAGTGCTTGTGTGTGTTCGGTTTTAGATGTTTTCATCAGGTTTGATAAAGGTGTAGCTGTTGATGGAAAAAGGTAGACTATAATATGTGCATTTATGTATGCATGTGTGCATGTGTGTGCAGACATATATATTGTTATATGTCTTTTATGAAAGAATTATCCTTTGGGATGATGCCTTGGTTATATTTTGATTCATATCTTGGTTTTAATGAACATTAATAGATTCTTAACAACGTGCTTTAATGTTTTTAGAATTCTAATAACTGACACACTCTGTAATCCAACTTGGCACTTACTCATTTTGTGTCAGAATATAAAAGGCAAACCTTGCATACTTATTGTTGTGTCATCAGACACACAATAGCTGATTTAAAAGAGAGTTACTCATCCTACAGTATGTTGACATGTCAACAGGTGCAACTGAAGGAGGTTGTGGAAGATCTACCCAACAAATTGGAGACACAGCTGGCAGAATCTGGATCTAATTTTAGTGTTGGTCAGAGACAGCTGGTGTGTCTTGCCAGAGCAGTTCTAAAAAAAAACCGTATTCTTATCATTGATGAAGCAACAGCAAATGTGGACCCAAGGTAAAAACAAAATCTGTCGTATTAAAATGAGCTGGTTTCTCTTCTAATATGTTCATCCCTGCTTTAGAGATGAACTTAAATGCTTTATATTTCATGTAGTTTGTATTGCTGTTTTACGTTTTTGATGATACCATCATTTTTGTCTATGCAAAACGGGGCGATTGAGCTTTGGCTATGGAGCAGAGGATATAAACTAAGCACTCAAAAGATCCCTAATTTCAGTGCATTCCATAGAGCAGGGAAATTAATATTCAAAGTCTATTTGTCCTGCAGCCATAGATTAGAAGACAAGAATGTTCTTGAAAATGCATCTCCGTAACATCAGAATAGCCGTGAAACAAGTTGAGTTCTGTTGACTTCTGGAAGAAATGTTTGTTGGAAATAAATAAACACAAAAGATTTAATTCATCTCATTCCCAAAACCCCCTAAAACTAGAAAGGTGAAAAAAGGCTATGAGCAAAACCAGATATTTCTGATTATGACATGCTGTCCTTTCAAATGGCTCAGATGCTGGTGTGGTAAGTTAGAGATATAGTGGGGGCAGGGGCAGAAGGTAAGCTGCCCGAAACACCACAGGAGTTGCAAAACAGAGTTGGAGATGTTTAAGTCTACAGGATGGACTCACTTATTCATTATTCTGTCTTGTATAACTCAGGCCAGCAGAACTTTCCTGAATTCATTCCTGTTTGAACTAGAGTGTACTTCTAGAAGAACATCCAACCTCAATAGCAAAAAAAATTCAATGACAACCCTTGTTAAATTGTTCCAATAGCTAAGTACCCCCACTGTTAATTTTTGAAACATTTGAAGCACTGGTGGAAATATTTTGGAAACAATACTGCAAACGTACTGCATCAATTAGTCTGAGCTGAATATATAGTTCCAACAAACTATGGCTTGAGGGAGAACTCAAAGTCCAAAGAGGACAATAACACAGCAAGTCCCTCAAACAGATGCATTAAGGATTTTGTATGTCATCTGGGCGTGACTCATTTTTCTAACATCTTCTTGGGGGAGAAGTGGTGCCACTGGGGTAGCTTTACAGTTCAGCTGTCAGTATATTTCTAAAATCTTTAGAAAAGTGCGTTCCCTTCCCAGAGGTTCTCTTTTTCTTTTTTTTTTTTCTTTTTTCACTCTTAGTTTATTTTTGGCTGGGCTCTGGTAGATTAACTGTGATTAATCATAGGTGTGGAAATTTAATACCATCTTACTCATCCTCCCTATTTTGGCATCTCACATGTGTGTTCTCAACTTGCACTATCCATTTAATTGATCTTGATTAATGTATGCTGCAATATATATTATAATAAGGTAAATGTTTGTTTGTATCAACTCTAAGCATAACAATACAAATAATAACTTGGAACTTCTTTGAATTCAGTTTGCATTACAGTCATTATTACCTTTTCCTTAATGTGTTGGTATAACTAGAGCCAAGTATTTTTTAGCTGTGCAATCTGATAGGATGATCATCAGGAAATGCTGATGTGGGTTGCTTAACTGAGCAGTTAGGGAGGCATTTTTGGCGCGTAAGGAAAACCTCCTCCTCCTCTTCTGATGCACAGCCCCCATACCTGGCACCCTTGTCTCTCACCTGGCAGTGAGCACACATCATATCAAGCACCTGAGATGGGGGATCATGGCGAGCTGCCGTAGGCTCTGGAGATACTTTTCTCTTTTTTTGTTTTTTTGGCTCTTTGGCTCTTGATCTCTCTCCCTCAGCAGCCTCAACTGCTGCTGCCACCGTGTCCCTTCTGCAGTTCAACCTGGAAGCGGGTGTGAGCGTAGCAATGCGTCTGAACAGCTTGGGCCATAGTGTGCACCAGCCAAACTGTCTGTAGTTACTTATCAGACCCTCTGGAATTTCTCAAGGTTGCTGAGACATAAGCTGTTCTAAAAATAAGAAAGAAGCCGAAAAACCAAGAAAACAGGACCACAGGAGCCAGATAAGAGAGAGTGCTTGAACATCTGGACTGTAACCAATCCTGTGCCCTGAGGGGTGTGTGCAGAGCACATGGACAGGATAGGGGCACCAATGAAAAGATGTGTGATCGTGTGGTCAGTAGTTTTAGAATGTATGAATAAGTGTGTAATGTCAACAATAAATGGGATCTGCGAGATCATATTGGCTCGTTGGTCAGAGATCCTGAACTCCCACATGTGAGAAGGCAGGGGTTAGGGGTGGCAGGAAGAGAAGGAAGGGTGAGGTGTTGCGAGGCAGTGGATGCAGGGTGAAAGATGGGCATTGTACCTTCCCCAGAGGACTGAGGTGACTCCACAGTGTGACTTTCGTGCATGCTTTTGGGGTGGGGGGGGAAGGAGCTTGCCATAAAGAAGGTTGGCCTAAGTCAGACTACCTGCATGATTTAGGTGATGACTGACATTTAATTTGATTTTATCTTCTTGGGCCATTCTCACTCTGAAGAATAGAGTCTGGTTTTAAAGCAGTTGAACTTTTCTGGAAACTTGTGTGAAATCTGGAGCAGAAGAGCTGAAAATCTTCACGTAGTTGCTTTGGCGATACACAGAAACAAAATCATTCCTTACTGAGATTTTTTAAAAATACTGAATTTGTTTTAATTGTGTTAACTGATATTTTGGCTTATAGAGAATAAAACTTTTGGCAAGCAAACCACTGCCACCTTTTTACATTGGTTGTTCATTGAGTCTGGTAAAAACAGCCATTGCACGTAGTTCAGTTCATTAGCTGTCTTAACCTTGTAAGGTTTAACCTTTTATTACATCTAACTGCTATCTGTAACTCTTTCTCTTTTGGAGAAATTATCTAAGCCTCTCAGGAATTGTGTAGTGTGAGATATGCTTTCAGGACAATCCCAGGAGGACATTAGACAGAAGATAATGACTTAGCCAGTTTTCCTTTCAGCAGCTTGGTTGCTTCTCATTCAGATCATATTTATTCTTCCTCTTTAGATAGTTTTCTTTTTACACAGTCAGCTAATTCAGGTTACACCAGATCTTGGGTTGCTGGGAAACTTGGTGTTAGATCCTCAACCTGTGGTGCCTGTGGGACAACTCTACCACTATTTTGTGCTTTCTTGTTGTATTGTTCCTTGCAGTAGGGAGTATTGTGGTTCCCATTTTTATATAATCAGATTAGGATGGAGTTTTTGTCATCCAGCAGCCCTGGTTTTGGTATTCAGGTTGCATCTTTGGTTTTTAATGTGCCTGAAAGATGAAGAGGTCTGATCCACTGAAGTGGGTGATAAAATCACTTGGCACTTGCCTAGACACTTGTTAAATGTGGGTAGGCACTACTAAGAGTGCATTTATGTCCTGAAAAAGGGACAGAAATTATGCTTTCTTTGGTACTTTTCTAGTTCTAACTGGCATGTGATACAGTCTCTACACTCTGTCAGCTCATAATTCTGTATACAGATGCTTTTCTTGGTATTTTTAGATTTTCTTGCTTTGCCTAGCTTCTTCCTGAGATTCTCCTGGACGTTACTGATGGTGCTTCTGCCCGCTGTCCCAAAAACTGTGCTCCCAAGCTCTACCATGAGCCTTGGAGACAATCTAGCCAAGTGTCAGTCAGCGGACACATCAGCATGAGATCTTGTTCCGTGATATTGAAGATGGAGCTATTAAGTCTGTTCCTGATTACTCTGTAGTCTCATTTTATAACATTTGTCACACCCACAATATGGACAGCAGTTTCTTGTTAGTGATAAGCTTGTGTTCAAGAAATACCTGTTTAAGATAATAGTTTGATAGTATCTCTCTAAGAATGAGAGGTTTTTTCCTTGTAAATGTAAGAAGAGGTAGTGCTATAAAGAAGACATATAATAAAAGATAAAACTAATGTAGAGGACAGGGATGTTCAAGGCTGAGACATTCTTTGAAAACAGTAGGAATAACTTGAGTTACAAATAACTGTAAGCCTTTATAAAGTTGTTATCAAAGTTCCTGAGCTAGCTATGATTCTGGTGTTCTGTAGTAACTTTGCAGAAAACTTTGAGCTTGACTGTAAAAGCCTGAAAAAGGCTTCTTTACACAATTCTAGGGAGTATTGAATACTGAATTTTTTTTTTCTGTTTTGCTATTTCAACCAGTGTAGAGAACACATCCAGCTGTCTCTATGAGGCTCTTCCATAGTGAGTGTTTTCATGGATATCTCTGCTTTTCTTTTTCCTTCTGGAGGTAAGAGTAGTCAGGTTATTGAGGCGTTGCTGAGGAGAGAGCGAAAAAAAGATACATGCATTAACACTGGGGTGAAAGGACTGGTATTGCAGTGATCTGGAATATGATTAACAACTTCCTTTTCTTAAGGAGATAACACAGAACTAAAGAGCCTGGCCCTGTCCTGACTTCTCTTCCTGTCTCTTTCCCTGATTGCTTACTGGCCTTTGTTCAAAAGGAGTTGAGGAACACCTGCTTCTTACTTTGTTTTTGAGCTTCTTTCAGGAAGTAGGAGCAGAAGGACCAAGCCTCTCAGACTGTGGTCCAGAACACAGTTCTCTTAAGCTCATGACAGAATTTAAATGTTTCAGTCCCCAGATGAAGGTAAAAGTTAGAACGCATGGAATTCTTACTTAACTGTTTATGTCTTCCTTCTCTTTGATGATTCTTCCTGTCATCAGCAAGGATCTGTCTTCTCCATTGTCATGCTGATTGCTTCAACTTAGCTTGTAACAGAAGCTGTGTTCATCCTTCAGAGCACGTGAGCTCCTACTTTCTACTGTAGAAACTTAATAGTTACTTCATTCCTCTAAGTGATCCAGTTCTTCCAAAGTTGTCTGTCCACTTTTTATTGCTGGTGCCTCCTGGCATGATGGTGTCAGAACAATTCTCTTTGCGTAATTCATGAAGTGATACCAGATATTCATCATTTGCAAACATGATTTCAGTATGGAGTACTACTGTCTAAAAAAATACTACTTAATCAGAGGAAGATATGTTTTATGAATATTTTATGTATTTTATTTTATTTTCTCATTACTTTGAAAAATTTGAAGAATTAAGGCTTTGCAAGCAACTGATAGCAGCCAACATGCCTGCCTAAATAGCCTAGTTTACTCAGATAGCTCCTTTGTCTTTTTTTAACCTAATCTGTAGCATTTTATTATTCTCCAGTCATCATACATACAAATGAACAAATTCATGTATTAATAGAAATTCTGGAAATGAGGCCCCTGACTTCAGGTGACTGACTTCTAGGCTGGAGCTTCCTTGGTTGAACTAACACCAGTATATTTTGAGTTCTTTGTGTCATCCTTCTGTCTTGGATGAGAAATTTGGTTTCTGTTCCTTTTTCTTCATTTTTGCCATTTGTCTTTTGGGGTGTTTTTGTAGGCTGGTGAGTATTCACAACGCCTGGCTGGTGGGACCCAAGGCTACCTGCGCAGTGTGGGCTGTCAGGTGCCTCTAGAGGGCATTCATTGCCGTATGGCTGCCTAATCCAGGTTTTCAGATTCACCTTCCAGCCATGCCTCTTCCCTTTCACTGATTTAAGAGAGGATTGTAGAGATCTCCATATATAAGCCTGACAGGTGTCCTCTAAGTGAGGTGGTGTCAGTGCTTCTCCTGTGTCCTGTTATTTGGTGTCTGTGCTCTAGCTTAGTTTTCATTCTTTACAAGTCTTACGTTTCTTTTTGCTGTCCTTTTCTTAGGTGCTTAGTTCATACAGTAGGGCTTGCTCTTAACTTGAAATCTTCTGTCTCTTTCCTTGGGTTGTGCATTCCAGTTAATGCTTTGATTTACACAGAATGCCAAATTTTGGGATTTTTCAGTATTCAAGTTCTTGAGCTATTCCAGTACTGTTTTCGTTTACCAACCATTTCCTCTAATTAATCTGTGTTTGCATTTGAAATCAAGAACCTTGTTTCTAGGCTGTCTTGTGTCTGTTCTTCAGATGATTTGCAGTGAAGGGTATTTACTTCCACCAATTTTTCTTCACTGCTTGCACAAACTAAATCTTGAAAGAGAATAACAATGTTTTCTTGGTGTAGAAGTCAGTAGAATGATCTGTATCTACAGAATTTTCCATTTTCTATAATCAAAGTCTGAGAAATTAGTCTCCTGAAATGAAGCCTATTGCTCTACTTACAAGAATAAACACTTTCCTTGTCAGGTATAAATTTTGGAGTATGTGTCATGATATGCTTCCAAGTCATCTGATATAACAAGAGGAAGAAGCACAGTAATAACTTTATAAGCGTATTTCCTTCTATCCAGTCATGTTTGATGAAGTCATAAAACCTGCCTGCCATTCAGTTATCCATGCAAACATCTTATTTTTGTCTGCATTGCTCTTGCTGTGTTTCAGAACAGATGAGTTCATTCAAAAGACGATCCGTGAAACCTTTGCTCACTGCACAGTGCTGACCATTGCACACCGCTTGAACACCATTATTGACAGTGATAGGATTATGGTAAGACAGTTAACTGTTTCACTTTTTTTTTTTTTTTTCTTTCCTGAAGAAGAATAATTTTATTGACTCTGCTTAATTTTGATCCAGCAGTGGTTAGGAGTGTAAGTCATATGTTAGGCTTGTCCAAGTTAACCTCATTAAGCTAGCTACTGTGACTCACAACTCATAAAACTGTAGCTGTAATGACCTGGAAAGAATTCTTGCTTTCTCTTGCCTTGTGCTTTCCATCCCTCAAGGCACAAACCCACTGCAGGCGAGGTGCAGCAGGAGACCTGAGCAAATAAGCTCTGCCAGTACTGGGAGCCTGTGAAGTCATACCCGTGAGGTTCTGGAAAGAGTCAGCTGGGTGCAGTCTTGGTGGGCCAAGACAGGCAGTGGCAATAGTTGGTGTGGGATGTGTGAGGAGGAAGTGGTGGAGGTTCTGGGGCAGGAAGCATGGAGGTCAGGAGAGAGCAGCTGCCCTGGAGCAAAGGTAGTGATGGGAGAAGTAGGACAAGACTGGTGAGGTAATGAACATGGCCAGCTTTCCAAAGCAAGGTTCAAACTGAGAAGATGAAGCACTACCAATGCAGCAGCCTCTGTCATCTTCGCTCACAGCAGAGGAATGTTATACCCTATCTGCCACCTTGTCTGCCCCACAGTGTGTTGCAGATACATAGAAATTATGATGATTTTCATAAAGGCAGTGGTGTTCCCTGGGCTCTCAGGAAATCTGCCTGGTTTGTGTCCTTGACATGATGTGCAGCCTGCAGTTTTACAATTTTCTGCAATAAGAGCATGAGCCCTTTGCAAACATCTTCACAGCCAATTAATGAAATAACTGGCACAGGGGACAAACTGTGTTCATAAGTGGAACTCAAACTTAAATGGGCTTTGAGCAGAAATTAATCTTCGCCTCTTGGTGGTAACCTTAAAAAATACCTCTCAACTTTTGTCTTAGGAAAGTGAAACTTGACCGTTCTTTCCATAGTTTTTTGTTTTGTTTTATTTTACTGGATGCTCAAAACATTTAAAAATTTTTGATTGAGTTACAGTGGTTGCCTGAAGTACACAAAATTAAACAATCCCATCTGCTGAGGTGAGTGATGTTCTAAGGAGTAGAATGGATTGTGAGCTCAGTGATTATAGTTTACTTACAAAGAGAGAAACCAGCAGAACTGCCACAAGTAGTCATGTAATTGCAAGCATTTAACATATAATAAATAAATATTTTCTTCTCTGGTGAATACCTCCCCACAGGTCTAATGGATATGTTGGTGTTTTCTACAACTGAAATGAACAAAAGATTTGTGAGGAAACAACTGTGACCTAATTAATAGCTCTGTGTGTTTGTTAGCTGTCCAAAGGGATTTCTGTGGGTTTTGGTTCTTTAGCTACCATTAACATGGTAGGCACAGAATTCTCTCTCCACAAAGATGTTTTCCTAGTTTTACCTTTAATGTCATGAAGTTGCAATGAAAACTAAATGTTTTTACCTTTTTTTTGCCAAAAATTGTTGGAGCAAAGCATAAAAATTCCCGTTTTCCTCAAACTACTCAAAATAATTGCCAACTACATAGCTACTCTATTGCATTTTAAGTGTCTGTACATTATTCTTACTCTTATGTTGTTTCAGTTTAGTCACTATTAAGATTTCTAGTTTCCTAATTGTCTAATAGTCTTTAATGCTTTTGGCCACTTTGGAGTATTGAAAAAGAGACCTACAAGAAGATGTCTCTTTGAGTCTGCAGTCAGTAGTAACTTTTAAATATTTTTCATCTTTTTGCATTGCTCCATTTTGATCTTACAGATTTCTGTAAACTGGGGGAGAGAGGAAGGTGAGAAGCCTGATTAAAAAAAGGAGAAAACTGAAATGTAACTTTGTAACAATGCCTCTTTTTAAGGATGCCTATTTTCTCAGCATCCTTACTCAGTTATTGATTCTGTTTAGGGGCAAATTAGAATTATCATCTTATATTTAGAATGATCAGAGTTATGGCAGGTGTGCTTCTGTTACACTTTAATTACTTGGTTTACTAACTCCTAGAGGAACTAAAGCAGAATTTTGGAAGAAAAACATGTTAAAAGTTCCAAGAAAAAGAATATTCTTCTAGAAGACTATTAATTAATAAGGGCTATTAATAAAATTAGAATTCATGGAAAATTAATTATTTACTTCAATATCACAAAACTTGAGAAGACTTAGCTAAAGAAAGCTTTTAGTGTGTTCTATAATTTGGTTAGTCAATGGTGTGTTTTAGTAATTCACAAATTTAACTTGATGAAGATTGTTTTTCAAGAGTCAGAAATACAACAAAGAAAGTGCATTGTTATTCATTTACCCAGTATTATTAAAAGCCCTTGTTTTGTTTCTCCTTTAATTAGGACCTCTAGGTGCAATAATGCCTTATTTATAAGCTATCCCAAATCTCTCTTGTTTGCTATCGTGATAAGTTTTTTAGAAAATGAAGGAAGAAGAACAAAGATACAACCTGATAGTCAATATATTAACAATTGTCTTTTGACAAATAATAAGTTATTTTTCAATCAAATTTTGGGCAAACTTGTTCAGCTCTCTTAAATCAGTCACAAATGTTCAAGCCTATTCCTGAACAAGTGGATATCACTGAGGACTTTCCACCTTTCCCATTGAGTCAAGTTGAAAGGAACATCCTGCTCAAAGCAGGGTCAGCAGTAAATTCACATCAGGCTGCTCAAGACTTTTTCCATTTGAGTCTCGAAAACTTTGAGAAATGGAGATTCCACAGTCTCTGGGCTACCTGCTCCAATGCTTAATTATCTGCTAATTAAGTCTTTTTTCTCCTTATGTCCAGTGAAAGCCTTTATTCCTTTTATGGCAATTGTTTCTTGTTTTCCCACTGTGTATCTCACTGAAGAGCCTTCTGTCTTCTCAGTAACTTCTCTGTAGATGTGGGAAGGTTGCTGTTAAGTCCTCCGAAGCCATCAGTTCTCCAGAGTGAACATGCTGCTCCATCAGCCTCTCCTCATAGGTGCTCCAGTTCACTGACCACCCTTGTAACCCTATTTCAAGCTTGCTCAGATTTACCTTGCTTTCTCTTGTACTAGGGGTCAAAACTGGTCATCATGTTGAGTGTGTTGGCTGCAGTCTCCAGCTTGGCATTGTCCATGAGTTTTTTGATTTAATTCTGTTTAATTACTGGTTAAAGCAGAACTTTCCAAAAAGAAAGAAAAAAGATCCCTGAAGTTCACCTTTAGGGTTAATCCAAACATTAAAAAAAAAAAAAAAAATTAGAAGAGAAAATAATTTTGAGAAAGTCATGAGAAAATGTCAAGTTGGATGAGTATGGAAATAGGAACTGAACGTGAACTGTTGCATGTCTGCTCACACCCGTCGTAATAACCGGTTCTATTTTAGAAGAGAAGAAAAGCCTACTCAAGGAGGGAAAAAAGGAAGAACAGAATATATTTTATACAACTGTAGACAAATCTGGCCTCAGGAGTTGTTTTAATTCTCGTTTGTTCCATTCCCAAAACCATACCTCTGCTTTCATAATCCAGGTCACGCCTTAAGAGTATTTCCATTATATCTGTCTTAGTGATAAACACGTTTTATCAGAACTTCAAACGCTTAAAATCATTGAGGGAAGAGCTGTATTGTGTAACGTGATACTCTCTAACCCAATCGCCTCAATGAGTAATGCTGCATTGCACTTGCATAGGACCTTTCATCTGGAAATTGTAACGCTCTTTATAAACATTAATTAATTAAACTTCAAACACCTGGGTGAGATAGGGAAGTATCCATACAATCTTTGGAACCAAAGTTGGAAAGACTTGTTAAGTCAGCCCATCGAATAATACTACCATAAAATTATAATCCAGTGGTTTTCGAGCTCCTTTTTTTTTTTTCTTCCCTGTGTGCTACTCCAGCATCTACTAGGACACTTTCTCATTCCTTTTCCTTCATTACTTTGAGAAGCCAAGGTGTAACTCTTCCCATCAGGTGCTAGCAGTATCTATTTTGGCTCTTTGGCACAGGTAGGCACTCTGCTGCATGGTAGAAGGTGGGGGTAGGATGAAAGCTGCAGTTACCTCTTCTGTCATGGCAAATCCTGGCAGAAGCTCAGCTCAAGCTTGCTTCACTGGTCCCTCATTCCCTGTAGCTTCCCCACCACCTCAACAACTTCTTCCTTGTCCCATCCTCACCACAGAGGGCAAAGACCTTTTATGTAAACTGCATCTGCAGCTTGTGGCAGCCAATGGACACCACTCACAAGACTTCCAGGGGGATCGTATAAAATCCCCATTATCCATTTCTCCTCTTCCTCTCTGCTTCCTTCTTCAGGTTGAGAAATGACTTTTAGAAACTCTGTTTTTACAGAGGGGCAAACAGAAGCATGTAGAAATTGAGGCTCACCCAGGTACATAGTGGTTCAGTAGCAAATAAAGTATGTGCATCTGACAAGAACCTGATGGAGTTGTTTGCTGTATATACTATGCTGTGGCCTCTCCAGAGAAAAGTCACAGTCAAAACTTGTGCTTTTTTCAATGACAAGGATGTTTCTCCAGAGAGTTTTCATATCAGTGCAATACTTCTTTGAAATGGAAACTCTTTATGCAAGCAGAACTTGATCTAGTAATTAAAAACTGTCATTCAAATAGGAAGTTTTTGATGAGAGAATCATGGGAAGAGATTTGATTTATTTATGTGAAAACCTGTTGTGGTTACATTCTGAAATGACTAATATTCAGAGTAACAATACAATGCACTTCACAGCCAGACCTGAGTTGTTTTTTTTGGTCAATAGAAAATTACTTCCTACGTCTTTCTGATAAGCCTCCCTACTTCCCACATCTTTCCGGTACGCCTCCCTCATTCGATTATTCTCATTTTTCTGATGTTGTGTTTGCCATGGTGGAACATCTGGGCCTCATAAGTCAGGAACTGTGTTTCTTGCACTGTAGATATCTAACTTCAGCAGAGCAATCAGTCCACCAAGAGTAAGTAGAAATATCTTGGAATCAAAGAGAGAGAGAGA